CTTGGCTGCCTGCTCTCCACACCGCCCGCTGGAGCCTCAGCCCCGGGTCCCAGCGTCCGGGCCGGCCTGGGTCTTACCTGGGTCCCCCAGCGCTCTGTGGGAGACGGTGAGCAGCCAGGGGAGAAGGAAGTTGCACAGTTCGGGCAGCGTGAGACAGCTTGGCATGGTGGTCTGGCGGAAGGGAGGCAGGGCGCAGGGAGTGGGGGTCAGCACCAAGGGGAAGGGGCGGGGAGAGCCAGCAGGATAAGGGTAGTCCTGTTGGGGATTCCTGAAAGGGACCGGCCAGCAGGAAATGAACGGTGACATCAAGAAGGTAATGGTGAGCGAGGCAGCGATAACCCCACTCAACCTGACCTGAGGCCCGTGCACGCCCTGGCTCCGCGGGCCCTGATTTAGCATCTCCTCTCCCTGTGGCTGTTCTTCCGAGGTGCTGCTCCCAAGATTGTCATCGGTCGAGTCTGCCCCCCCTCCGGAATAAACAATCACACCTCTGCTTGAAACAGTGGCTTTCTAAAGCCCTGGGGATCAAGTTCAATCCCCTACCCTCGACTTCCAAGAATCCTGAGATCCAGGTCCTCCCGCACCTCCAACATCACCCCGCGCTACCCTCCTCCTACCCTCTGCCCTGGGACCCAGACAAGGCGGACTTCCCAGAGGGTCAGAAAAAACCCAGGTTCAAGACCACCTCCGGGCACTGTGGCCAGGTCTCACCTTGTCTAAGAAGGCTTTCTTCACTCTGTAGTTGGCTACACTGTGGTCTACTGGGTTGCACTAGGGACTAATTTTCTTTAGAAGCTCTCTCTCTCTCTCTCTCTCTCTCTCTCTCTCTCTCTCGTGTGTGTGTGTGTGTGTGTGAGAGAGAGAGAGAGAGTGTGCGTGGGGGGAGAGACTTGGGATTGAATCAAGCCCACACTGAGCTACATCCCCAGCCTTTTTTTATTTTTTATTTTCAGACATGATTTCCCTAAGTTGCCGAGCCTGGGATGGATCCTCCTGCCTCAGCCTTAAGAGTCCTGGTGCTCCAGGCAGGCATGGCCACCACACCCAGAAAAATAATCTTATTTATTTATTGGTACAAGGCATTGAACTTGGGTCCTTGTACTTGCAAGGCAGGTGGTGGAATGACTGAGCTAAATCCTTGGCCAAAAAAGTACTTCTATTAGCACCTAAATAGTGTGATTAGAAAGTAATACATGACATATGGACTATGAGGTTTTTCTAAAATTATAAAGTTATTTTTAAAATAACTTCCAATGCAACTGATGTTTTGGCAGTATATTCTGCTTCCCTTCTTTTTTTTTTTTTTTTTGTACCAGTAATTGAACTCAGGCCCTTGTGCTTGTGAAGCAGGCTCCAGAACCACTGAGCTAAATCCCCAGCCCTCTTTCCTTTCTTTACCATCTCTATTCTTTTTTATTAGAGGCTCTCTAATGTTGAGCTACATCCCAAATCTTTTTCATTTTTTATTTCAAGACAAGGTCTTACTCAGTTGGCCAAGCTTGTCTCCAACTTGTGATCCTCTTGCCTCAGCCTCCTGAGTAACTGGAATTACTGGTGTGCACTACCAGGCCCAGCAATGGGATCCAGTCATACCATGTTGATTATTATGTTTGGACTGAGAACCCCTTGACCTAGTTTTATTCGTTTTTCCAAACCTGACTCATCCACATCCTATTCATGACTCTGAGCAAGTTACTTAACCTCTGTGCCTTGGTGTCCTGATCAGGGTCACTGGACAATAGCACGATTCCCTTCTTGAGTAGCTTCGAGGGTTGGATGGATCCCCCACACCTGTGCCTGATGTGTCTGGGACTCTGGTTGTCGTGACTCCTGACTCTAGTCCTCACTTCCTTTCTGGCACAGAGTGTGAGCTAATGTGTGAGCACTTTCGTGAATGAACTCACTTTAAGGACTTCTGGGAAGGAGAGTTGGGGAAATGGGCAAGGGAGGACTCTCAGGAGAGTGAGGAGCAGCCATGCCTGGTGGTGCACACCTGTAATCCCAACACTCAGGAGGCTAAGGCAGGAGGGCTGCAAGTTGAAGCCCAACCTGGGCAGTTTAGTGAGATCCTGTCTCAAAATAAATAGGAAGGGCTGAGTATGCAGCTCTGTGTTAAGCTCTGGGTTCAGTCTCAGTACCTGGGTGTGGGGGAGCTGAGCCCCACTTTCCTGTAGATGCAAGCCAAGGCCACCTTGCAGCAGGAGAAATGGAGGTTAGGCACAGTATGAACTTTCCAGTGGAGGAGGGTATGGTGGTGCAGGCCTGTTATCCCAGCACTCAGGAGGCTGAGGCCAAAGGATTTCTGTGAGTGTGAGATCAGGCTGGGCTGCACAGTGAGTTCAAGGCCCGTCTGAACTACATAGTAAGACCCTGTCTCAAAAAACAAAAAAATTAAAAATAAGAAACTTCCCAATGGTTAAGAGAGAAAGTACTTGGGACAGGAAACGAGCGAGAACCACTTTACAGGAAAACCTGGGAAAGGAGACTGCAGGCACTGAAATGGACTCGGGAATCACCTACAAGGACCATTGGCCTCGTGACACCTGTGACAGCTGCCATCCCCGACCTTGCTGCAGGCACCTCACCTAGGTGTTTTTGTATTTATTTTTCCTGGTGTGAGGGAGGAACTTAAAAATGGCGTGAGACATGCTGAAAAAGAAGTGCACATGTGGAGGAAACTAGTGTCGTCCCACGGCTGGGAAGATTTGAATCCACATCTGATAGTTTAAGCTCTTGCCTGCCCCACCCACCTTGGAACCAAGGATTGAACTGGGCCTTCACTGAGCTCCAACCCCAGCCCTTTTTAATCTTTTGTTTTGAGACAGGGTCTTGCTAAATTGCTAAGCTGCCCAGTCTTGCAGCCCTCCTGCCTCAGCCTTGAAGAGTGCTGGGATTACAGACCTGCACCACCATGCCAGCTGGGCCTACACTCTTAACTCCTGATCTATATTTCTCTGTTTCACAGCAGGTGCTACATCATCTTGTAGAAAATGATACCGCAGCCCCCGCCATGTGGCCTACCTGTTAGAAGCCGGTCTCTGCCCGGAGGCAAAAGCAGTGATGGGTAGCAGCCTTTGGTCCTGCGAGAGGGAAGGTTCCAGGTGAGGGTGTTGTCCAGGCTCCTGGGGCATCCAGGTGCCTTAAAGCCCAGGAACTTGAGCATCTAGGTGGCCAGCATGGTGGCTCGCTTTACACCTGTTGGGAAGCCTTCTCTCCTGCACTCCAAGAGGAAGCCAAGGTGCCCAGGAACACCGCACCCCTGGTCCACTGCACCAGGCTAAGGGACTGTGTCCAGCCCAGGGGCTTCTCTGTGGACCAGGGGCCAGGGAAAGATGTGAAAATGCGGATGAGGGCGAGAGCCTATGGTAGGAGAGAAGACGACAACCCGGAGGGCCTAGAAAAGAGCCTACTGCTGGGGGCTCTGGGGGACCAGAGCAGATGGGAGAACGCTCACCATGCCTAGATTGGTTGCTGCCCTGACACTGCCACACAGGCCTCGTTGCCAGCACTGCCCTCCCTCCCTGTGCGTCCTCACCTCTGCCCCTGGGGGCCTGGATGCACATTGCCTTTGGGAAGAGGCTGTCAAGGTGGAAAGTGACTTCCAGGACTTCCAGCCGCCTCAAGGAACCTAGTGCCCTCTGTCCAGCCCCCGTCTGTCCGTCTGTCTGTCCTTTCCTCCTCTGTCCCCACCCCGTCGGAAGCTCAGAAGCACAATTTCCCTTTGTCTCTGTCTTTTTCCCTATTGTTGAACAACAGGGGCCCCTTTCTTTGTCCCGTGGGTAATGGCAACGAAATGTCAACAGCTGGGGCTGTGGGATGCGGGACGGGCTGGCACACGGCACCGGAAAGGCCCTCGGGGGGCTCCGCAGGAGAGGATGTCCAGGGAGGGGGCCGGGGCAGAGATGCGCCCCCCAGTTCTCCCACCTCAGGGACCTGAGGAGATTTTTGTCTGAGGCCAGGGTGTCAGCCTGGCCTGTGGAGGGTGAGGGGTGGCTAGGGTGGCTGCAGGAGAGATGGTCATTAGTGAGAGGGACTGCTCTGTCCCTGGGAAGGGACCGGGCTCTGTGGGGATGGGGCTGTCTAAATGAAGGTCTCATCTTCATCCGAGTGTCCCACCTCCTTCCTCAGCACGGGTGCATAATCACAGGAGAAAGAGCAAGGGGAATCCTTCATCTCCTTATTCCTTTAGAGAAATTCACCTTTTCTAAACTCTTATTAGGAACTCTAAATTCCTGCTGAGGTCCAAATCCATTTTGAAAACCTCTCTACTGAGGAATAATTTTTGTACAAAAGGTGCATTGACTGGGCCTGGTGGTGCACGCCTGTCATCCCAGCTATTTGGGAGGCTGAGGCAGGAGGACTGCAAGTTTGAGGTCAGCTGCGGCAATTTAGCAAGAACCTGTCTAAAAAGGGCTGGGGATGTAGCTTAGCAGAGCACACCTGTGTTAAATCCCTGGTGCTAAAAAAATGAAAGAAGGAGTGCACAGAGCTTAAGTGTAGAGTGCAATGATTTTTCTTCTTTTTCCTCTTGTTCCTCCCCTCCTCCTCCTCCTCCCCCCTCTTCCTCCCCCCCTCTTCCACCTCCTTCTTCTTCTTCTTCCTCTTTTCTTGAAAGAGTCTTGCTTTGTAATTGAGGCTGGTTTTGAGCTCACTATGCAGCCCAGGCTGGCCCTGAACTCACAGCGATCCTCCTGCTGCAGCCTCCTGAGTTCTGGGATCACAGGTGTGCAACACCATGCCCAGCTGAGTCTGATGAGTTTCTACTTCCTATGTGCACAGCTTGTATACATGTACCTCCCAGACCAGTTGTCAGGATATAGAACATTCCTGATGATCCGGAGTAAACCGACGCAGAAAAAAGACTCCCCACTACCTACCAGCCCCCTATAAGTAGCCACTTAAAAACAGAAGGGGGGTTGTGTTTTGGGGGGTTTTTGTTTTGTTTTTTGTGGAGGTACTGTGTGTTGAACCCAAGGCCTTTCACTGGGTTACATACCCAGCCCTTTAAAAAAATTTTTTTTTCATTTATTTGAGACTTGCTCTCACTAAGTCACTAAGTTGCGCCGTCTGAGGTCAAACTTGTGATCCTCCTGCCTCAGCCTCCCAGAGTGCTGGAATTACAGGCATGCACCACCATCCCTGGCCATTTAGAGCTTTGAATAATTTCTTCTCCTCCTTTTTCTTTGTTTCATACCATTAGCTTTGTGTCTGTTGAATCTACACTTTCAGCCTGGGGGGACTGAGGTCCATGATCTTTCTCAGCCACCAAATGAAGAAGAGGAGGAAAGCAGCAACTCGCCTAAATCATCACCACTGGAGCTGCTGCTCCCCCAAGCCTGGCCCTTTCTGCCTTTGTGCCCATCCCTCCTCTGTGCAGGTTTGCACTTGCTGTATCTAATAATGGAGGGTGGGCTGTCAGTGCTCTTTGGGGTCTGATTGGCTGTTTTCTGTCCCTGCGCCCTGCCCCCAGTCCTTCCCTCCTCCTCCCAGGACTGTCGCTCCTGAGAGAGCACAAATAGGGACACTCTGATCCCGCGCATCTGATTGGCTCCCTCCCAACTCAGAACAGGGAGAGGGAGGGAGAAGGAGGGAAGAGTATAAAGGCACCACAACCTCACAGCCTGGGCCCCTGCCTGCTCTCCCCAGGTCACTTCTAACTGTGGTGTGGAGGTCCCTGGTGAGTGACTCACTAAGGGCTGAATATGGCGAGGCCTGTTGGCCCACACCTGCAGTCCAGCTCTCTGGGAGGCTGGGGCAGGAGGATCTCTGCCCAACCTAGTAACGAGGCAGGGACACAGGTCACCACCAGGCTGCCCTCAGTATGGTGATTTTACCCTCAGGAGAAAATTTAAAAGGGGTTGGGGGAAAATAGAGAAATAGAAGTAGAGGAAGAGATTAGGCAACACTGGAGGACAAAGGAAGATCACAAACTTTGGGGAACTGGTGAAGATGAAGGAGGGAAAGGGAAAATGAAGAAATAAAAATAGGAACAGGACAATAGAAACAATGTCTACACATGTAAAAACAAGAAAAAAAAAAGAGGAAGCAATGTTTAAAATCCACTTCGAGGTGTGTCTCTGCTGTCACTGGTAGACAAATGGGCAGACAGTCCAGACCAAGTTGATTAATCCCAGCAAGCGGGCTGCAACTTTATGGTGGGGTGGTGGATAATCCAGGCAGCCTGCACCTTCCATTCTGCTGAAGTTCAGGCTGCTTTCTGGGTGTGAGGCTGGAACCAGACCTGGTCAGACTGCAACAGTCTGTGCCTCCTGCTGGCTTGCACTCAGCTCCCTGATCTTCTGTCAGCTTGAACTCAGCAGCCTCATCCTCACAGTTGGAACCACTACATGGAGTGAGCCTGCAGTTGTTCCCTGTTCTGAGCCAAGTTGGTCCCTTTCTAAGATGGCTACTGGCCAATTGCCCTCTCCTAGGCAACAACCGAACCCAGATAACTCATCAGCCACTGAGGTCTGCTGAGTCCACTACTTCCTTCCAAGGTGCAATTCTTTTTGGGGGCCTCAGTGGTCACCAGTAGTCACCATGCATTTCCAGATTCGAGCCATCCTTCCCAGGAGTGAGTCTGAGTTCAGGGAGAAAACATCACCTGCCACCTCCTTCTCCACTGAGCTTCCTGTGGGCTTCAGTTCTCAATTCAGATCACTTCCCTCCTTGTCTTCCTCATGTTGCTATTCTAGTGTCTGGACATCAAATCTCAGAAAGGCTGTTTTTCTACTAATCACCACTCAGTCATCTTTCTGGGAAACTCCAGACTTGTGGACACCATTATGGGCATCATCTCTCTTTGGGGGGTGGGTACCAGGAATGGAATTCAGGGCCTCAGGCTTGCCAGGCACCACCGAGCTACATCCTAGCCCTGTCATCTCCTAAACTTTCTGTGATTATTTGTGGGGTTTCTGTCAAGAGACTTATCCATCTGTTTTGTTACCTTTGCTACTATCATTTCAGAAATTTGAGCTGGGTGGCTTTTGATTTCCTCCACCTCATTGCCCCCTGGGTTTGTCTTGAGTGAGTTGGGGGTGTTGGGTTGTATCTTGCTTCTGTTTTCTCATTTTCTATGTGTTTTGTTAATTTATTTTCTATGCTGAGGCTTGTAAATTGCTTATGGTAGTGGAAAAGAAGGGAGGCAGGAAGAGGATTCTAACTCTTCTGTTTATTAAGGATGAAAGGTTGCAGCCCATTTGGCCTGGCACCCAGTTCTCTGGTATGGGGCTGTAATACTGTTTATAAGCCCCAGAGAATCTAGGTATCGGCATACAATGACGATCAACTGATCGCAACAACTATGTCTCCTTGGTTAAATAGTACTATCAGTAATAGTAATAACACCAAACACAGACTGGAAACTGATTACCTGTGATAACTAATAATTTGCTATTTTTAACTTAAGGTATAAGATTTATAGTTAAATAACAAAATCTAAGACAAATCAGAAAATTATATATAGTAAATATCCACTCAACAGAGTGATTTTACCATAAAGGGAGAAAACTTACAAGGGAGAAGAGGAAAAAAATAGAGACATGAAAGAAGAAAAAGAGATTAGAAACAAGCTTAAAAGGACAAAGGAAGACTACCCAAGCCTCAGGAAACAGTCAAAGAAGACAGGAGGGAAGGAATGAAAGAAAAAATAAAAACAGGAACAAAAGAAAAAATCAATGGCCACACACACACACACACACACACACACACACAGAGCAATTAAAAAATGAGCAAAAAATTTTAAAAAGTCCAAAAGCAAACAGGAACTAGAAAGAAAGAAGAAGAAAGAAAAAAGTTTCTCTGTGATTTCAAGCCTGTGGCTGTCATCTGGGGTCTACAGTTTTGTGGCAGTGTCCAGTTCAAGGTATGATTCTGCTCTCACTGGTCCACAAGGTAGCCCAGGTCTGTGCTGGATAATCTCAGCAAGCCAGTAGTAGGATTAGGGCAGGGTGTGGCTCTGGGACTGCAATGCCACAGAAATTTAGGTTGAACCTGGCCGCTTGTCACTTTGGTGAGCCTGAGTTGTTTAACTTATAACACTGGTGTCTCTTGGTGGCCTGACCACGGCTCCCTGACCATGGACATCTTCTGTGGTTGTCCCTTACCTGGTCACTGTGGGAATTTAACATTGGGAGCCCTGAGATGAAGCCAACACACAGCTGCTCTGAATCCCAGTTCAGTTGGCCCCTTCCTAAAATAGCATCCAACCAGGTACTCTCTTCAGTGGGTATGGCAGACCTCGGGCTGGAGTCACTCACCAGCTATCGTGCACAGCTCCTATTTCATTGATGTGTTTCTCCCTGAAGGCCTCTGGAGTCACCCATTTTCACTGTGTCTCTGTATAGTCTTTCTTGCCACAAGCCAGGAGCTGGGGACAAAGTGTAGATTGCCTCTACTTTTTTCTGTATCATGGCCCGTCTCTTTAGTTTCTCTTGTAGGCTCCAATTTTCCCTTCAGGTCCTTCTTGGGTCCCAGGGATCCACTTCCCTCCTTTTCTTTCCCATGTTGTTTTCCAGTGTCTGGATTCCAATTCTTGGAGAGACTGATTTGTTGCTGCTTACTGCTCTGCCATCTTCCTGGAAGTCCTCCCCATTGTATAAATATTGCTGTAACAAACATTTCTATACATTTTGCTATCACTATTTCAGTTCATTTCCATAGAAATTTCCATGTATTCTTTTCTCATAGTGGCCTTTATTTCCATCCTTCTGAAGGTGCATGAGGTCTCATTAAACTCCACATTCCTTAAGGCCTGGTCCTCTTTTGCAATCCCACACAGACTAGCAACAAGGCTGCAGTCCTGGTCCCTCCTCACCCCCAGGAAGCTCCCAGGGGCCCTGGACTGGGTCAGGTGCTTCTCCTTGTACCCCAAAGTGCCATGTGCTGACCTTAATCACTGAGAAATGTAAATGCCTGGAAACTTGTTCACAACCCCAAAGACTATAAGGCCTGACAGGAAAAGGAGTGACTTTTACATTCCTCTAGCCCCTGATCTATAGGGGACCCTCAATAAATGTTTACTTAATATGTGAGGCTTAGTAGACTAGGGAGCTTAAGGTCCTAGGCCAGACTAGAAATTCTGAGTCTGTAGCCAGTACTTATTAGAGAAACATTTAATGCAAGGTATACCAAAATATAAAAATTTACAAGTTTGGCTTACAGTGACTGCCCACAGAGTCAGGTGTGGAAAAGTGCAAAGGCCTGCGTGTTAGAGATTTGAAGGATCCAGCAGAAGGCCTGGAGCTCACTGTATTGTCCCCTGGGAGTCCGTATCAGGAGGCCAAAGGGTCTGCAGTGGAAGGCAGAACGGTCTGTGCTGGAAGCTGGTAGATGTCCAAGGAGGTGAAGACCGGAGCATTGCTGAAGAAACAGGAGGCTTCCTCCTCCTCCTCCTCCTCCTCCTCCTCCTCCTCCTC